GCGGCGCTCGCTAGACTGTCGGCACTTCCGTTCCAGTCTCTCTTGACATACACTAGCTTCCATTTCCTCAGGCCATCGAGAGCCTTCTACTTCAATAACGTCAGTCCGGGTGCTTTGCAATCGATCTCACCCCGTACTTGTCGGATCACTAAGTTGGAATCACCGCAGACTACCAGGCGTTTGCGATCCAGGTCCTCTAGCATGTCGAGTCCCAGGATCAGGCCGTTATATTCTGCTTCGTTCACGGTGAGGCTCTCAAGATAGCCTGATCTGGCCTTGACCACCTCCCATCCGGGCAGACTCTACACGATCGCGCTGAACGCGCCCCCACCACGCTTAACTCGAGCGGATCCGTCAAAGCTGATCACCCATAGTTCCTCGTCTCGATCTACGGTGGATATCGGCGCTTGGATCCGGTGTTTAGGTTATTTCCGGGGAGCAATCTCAGTCAGAGCATCGTCGATCTTCGCCCTTAACATGATGCTGGCAGCATCGCTCCCAGTATCCCGTCCTCGCCCTTCGTGCACTTCGTGATTTCGAGCGTCCACGGGGCCAGGAGGGCAGACAAATGGCCTAGGCGACCCTTTAATCCCGTCGACTTGAACAGCCAGGCCAACGTGGAATGCCTCGTTAGGACCCGGATCTCACGCCCTACTAGCAAATTGTAATAGAGATCCAAGATCTTCAGCAGTGCCAACACCTCCTTCTCAGTCACATTGTAATTCAACTCGTTCGTCTTCAAGGTGCGACTGGCGAACGCTAGATCCCATCGTGTTCTTGCGTCAACGAAGCGGATATCGCCCAATCACTGGCATATACGATAAGTACCGGCGTTCTCGTCTCGTCGAAATGGCGGAGGATTGGGGGAGTGGCGATCTTTGTTTTCATGGGGTGATAGCCTTATGTACCCTGATCTACCTCTCATCTACTGGTTCCGTCATCTTCAGTTCCGGTGGGCCGTGATCTCGAGGTATCGGGTCGTTCCGGCCCATGATCTCCCTCAGGTCCGATCGTTTCTCCAGTTCTGCAAACTCCACCTCGCGTAATTCATAGAGCACCGAAGCGTAGATTGCGTAGTCTTCAATGAATCGGCTGTAGTAATTCAAACTACCCAGGAATGACCTTATAGATCGAAGTGATCCGGGGAATGGCAGATCGGTCAGAGATTTCAGGTCTTTCGGGTTGTAATCCAGACCTCTGATTGACACTCGGTGTCCCAGATATCCTACCTTATCCATGCCCCAAATGCTCTTGGCTACACTGATCGACAAATTCCACTTATCGCAAGCCTCCA